CTTCTAACGTGTCCTTCATCTCAGCTCATCACTGCACACCCATCACTGGTTGGGAGGAAAATCTGATGATTTCGGTGGGAACCTTTGCAGACTTGGGACTGGGCTCTGTCAGGCCTCAGCCCGTTACCGCTTGTCGACATGCACCCTGGCTTTCAGGTGTGCGTTGTCTTTTTTTTTTTTTTTAAATATATTCTATTGATTTTTCACAAAGAGGAAGGGAGAGGGACAGAGAGCTAGAAACATCAATCCGTTGCCTCCCGCACACTCCCTACTGGGGATGTGTCTGCATCCAAGGTACATGCCCTTGAGCGGAACCGAACCTGGGACCCTTGAGTCCGCAGGCCGACGCTCTATCCACTGAGCAAACCGGGTAGGGCATGTGGGTTGTCCTTTTTGCCCTGTTCCTTGGTCTCTCACATGCAACTCTGACCATGGCGATAATGCTCAGTCTGATTTAGTGACTTTAGGAAACGAACACACACCGTGGTACAGTCACTCGGCCGCAGCCGCATTCATTGCACTCAGTGGGTGCTTCTTGCACGGGCCCTGACCGGAGATTGAACCTGAAACCTCAGCCTGTTGGGCCGACACTCTAACCGGTGGAGCTCCCCGGCCAGGGCTTCCAATAAGTTCGTTACACAACGTCCAATCAACGCACCCCAGGCTCAGCCTCAGGACCCAGGCGCAGGCCCATGCACGGGCAGGGCGCGGGTCAGCCCGTCCTATGGGAAGAAGCAGGGAGGTTTGAAGGGTGAGGGGTACCCAACGCTGCCTGTTGTCCCTGGAAACTGAGCGATGGGCTCTCTCCAGCCTGCCTTGGACCCTGTCCTCAACTTCACCCCTCAGACAAGCAGCGGAAGTCCCAAGATTCCTCCGGAGCCACAGTGGCCCTTGCACTGCCATCGGCTCAGCCTCTCCTGACTCAGAAAATTCAGCTCAAAGACTTTTAACCCCTCAGGGAGCTTTCTGCCCAGAGTGCAGAGGATCTAGGCTCCATGGCCAAGTCAATGTGGGGTGGAGAGAGGCAGGTGCAGGAGGCATATTTGCATGGAGGCCCCTCCCTCCCCTGAGGCAGGGGGAGGGGATAAGAGAGGTCTGGGGGAGCCAGGCTTGGGGTCTCAGAAGGCAGAACTTTTGGGGCGTCTCTGCCATGGCCTGGGCTCTGCTCCTCCTCACTCTCCTCTCTCAGGGTATAGGTGAGGGCGCCGGGGAAGGGACCACAGGGCCATCCAGCCTGATAGAGGCCTCTGTCTCCTCTTTCAGGCTCACCTGAGCCAGCACTGAACTCACCACAGTGTGTTTTTGCTCTTTCTAGGGTCCTGGGCCCAGGCTGCCCTCACTCAGCTGCCATCCGTGTCCGGGAACATGGGACAGTCGGTCACCCTCTCCTGTGTCGGAAGCAGCAATGACATCGGGCGTTATAATTACATCTCCTGGTACCAACAGCGCCCGGGCACGGCCCCCAAACTCCTGATTTCCTACGTGAATGCTCGGCACTCGGGGGTCCCCGAGCGCTTCTCTGGCTTCAAGTCCAGCAACACGGCCTTCCTCCTCATCTCCGGGCTGCAGGCCGAGGACGAGGCCGATTATCACTGTTTCTCCTATGTGGGCAGCAACACTCTCCACGGCGCTGCGGGCTCATGGGGAAGTGAGACCAAAACCCGCCCCGGGCTCCCAGGCGCCCTCCTTGCTCTGAAGACCCATCCCCTCCCTGGGCAGGGCCTCAGGCAGTGTGGCCTGGAGTGCACGTCCCCCTCATGGCTTCTCTCCTTCTACTGTGAAGTTCAACAGAAAAACACTGTCATGAAGTTTCTGGGTATCATGTCAGCTTCTGCTTGCCTGTGTCAAGTGTCCCCTGAGGCTAGTCTATCCTGGATTCCCAGGGGCAGACGAAGCACATGCCTGCTTTTCCCTGCTGTCATCTGGGAAATCTGACATTAAATTCCTCCGCTGCACACAGCTCCTCGCCGCCCTGGATTCAGGTCTCCAGGAATGACTGTCCTATTCAACTCCGTGTCCACCGTATCTAGTCTGGGTAGTTCCTGTGGTAGGTTATTTATTTACTTACTTATTTATTTTTGTTCATTCTCACCCGAGGATATTTTTCCATTGATTTTTAGAGAGAGTGGAAGAGAGAGGGGAAAATAGGGAGAAACATCGATGTGAGAGATCACATTGATTGGTTGCCTCTTTCATGAGCCCCAACCAGGGCCCTGGACCGGGGAGGAGGCTGCAACCCAGGCAAGTGCCCTTGACCGGAATTGAACCCAGGACCCTTTAGTCCACAGGCTGATGCTCCATCCTCTGAGCCAAACTAGTGGCCAGGGCCCCGTGATGGGTTCTTGCTCTGCACGTCTATTCTGAAAGCAAGAGCACCCGAGAGAATATCTGATGACATTGCTGAACAAACAGCCTGTAGTTTTCTCTTTATTGTCCCTCATCTTTGACCCATACCCTTGGGGGCTGAGGCTGGAGATTTGAACAACAGACTCGGGTCTAAGATACCCCCACCCCGTCCTCTCCCCGCAGATCCCTGAACCACTGTCCTGGATGCTGCCCTGGATGTACCTGGACTATCTCTCCATTAGAATGGGCTCCTTTTAAAAATATATACATTTTTTTATTGATTTCAGAGAGGAAGGAGGAAAGAGAGAGAAACATCAATGATGAGAGAGAATCATGGATCAGCTGCCTCCTGCACAACCCCACTAGGGATTAAGCCTGCAACCTGGTCACGTGCCCTTGACTGGGAATCCAACCGCGGCTTCCCGATTCATAGGTCGATGCTCGACCACGGAGCCACACCGGCCGGGTGGGGCCTATCTTACATGCTGTTGTGAAACAGTGGGTCTTGTTTGACTGTCATACGGACTTTGTTACTGTAGAAGGTGACCTTCCCGCTGGGGTTGGCCAGGTTCCATCCCGCCGTCCGTCCGTGGACGGGGTGTGAATGTCAGGTCAGTTTGAGGTCTTGGCAGCATCTGTGGACCTACAGCCCATGTGCCGCACCGAGTGGTCCCCGTGGTGGGGGCAGTGGGCTGTCTCCTGGTTCTGTTCTGAAATCTGCCCTGGCTCTTTGGGCTCCAATCCACGCAAGCGCCCTTCAGAGGTGGGCCCAGCTTATGAGCAAGGCAAAGGCTGTTTTCTCAAAGTTTTTCTGCCGCTTTCTCCGCAACCCTAGATCCCGCTCTTAGTTCATCCTCCTTGCGGATTGAAGGGTCCTGGGTTTGATTCCCGGTCAAGAGCACATACCTCGGCTATAGGTTTGATCCCCTGGTCAGGGCACGTGCAGGAGGCAACCCATCAATGTGTCTCTCTCACATCGATGTTTCCCTTTGTCTCTCCCCCTCCTTTCCACTCTCTCTAAAAATCAATGGAAAAATATCCTTGGGTGAGAGTTAACAACAAAACACTGCCCGCCCCTCCACAAATGGAAGGGCTTCATAGGAAGGAAAAGGGTGGGGCTAGGAAGTTAAAAGAGCAGATTATTTCGGACAAGGACGCCTTCCCTAGGGGAAGGCAGGGTCTCCTCTCCCAGTTACCTCACTGGCTCTGACCAGGAAACCCCAGGCTGCGTGGCCTAAAGCTGCCCTCCTGGGGACGCTGAAACCGCAGTGAGCTTAGGTATTACGTTCGGTTTGGTGGTTTAGCAGAAGTGACTCCATTTGGACCAGTTATTTATCTTTAACAGAAAGAATCAGGGGGCCTGGTGCTGAGCTGGGATGAGACAGAGGGAGGCTGGAGGGGAGCAGAGCAGGGCTCTCCAGCTCTGAGCCAGCTCCTTCCTGCTGGTCCAACTCGGGCCGGTCATGCCAACCTTGGCCGCCAGGTGGCACCAAGGGCCTGGATTCGGGGCAGCTCATTGCTCTGCTTTCCTGGGGCCTGAATGAGGTCCCAAGACCTGGTTTCCACTGAGCTCCTCCCCAGGGAGAATGTGGGGGTAGAGGGTCCCCAATCTGTACGGCCACAAAACCCTTCACCAGACAAGACATACATGTCCCAGGTCTCAGCTTCAGAGCAGGGCAGAGGCAGGTGACACTGAGGAGGTGGGAAGGGGGGAGGGATAGGGACAGCTCTGTCTCAGAGCCTGGGAGGGACAACAATTAGATTTCTACCCGCCCGAGCCCTCTGAGCCCTGCCCTCACCCTCCGCCATGCACAGCAAAGAGCAATTACTGGGCCCGGCAAGCATGGCTCGGGCTGAGCGTCAGCCTAGGAACCAGGAGGTGATGGTTTGATTCCCGGTCAGGGCACATGCCCGGGTTGCAGGCTCGATCCGCAGTGTGAGGCGGGCAATAGGCAGCCGGTCCATGACTCTCTCTCATCATGGATGTTTCTATCTCTCTCTCTCCCTTCCCCTCTGACATCACTACAAATAAAAAATACATGTACACACGAGAAAGGACTGGGATTGTTTAGCCTGCGGACCAGACCATTGCCTGACACCCATAGCTGGAGGGCTGGGGGTCTCCGAAGTCTGACTGCATTTCCAAGGCACTGACAGGGGCTCAGTCATGGAACACCCATGTCAAAGCGACTGAATCCCTCCAATTAGCCCTGCCCTCTAGGGAGGTGGAGAGGAAGCCAGGACCAGCTCAGAGGGGTGACCAGAGACATAACAGAAGCAGATTTGCATGGAGGCCCCTCCCTCCTCTGAGCTAGGGGAAGGGGATAAGAGAGGTCTGGGGGAGCCAGGCTCAGGCTGGGGTCTCAGAAGGCAGCGCTCTCAGGGCACCTCCACCATGGCCTGGGCTCTGCTCCTCCTCAGCCTCCTCTCTCAGGGCACAGGTGAGGCCTCCGGGGAGGGACACGGACACCTGGGCTGACTCTGCCCCCTCCAGGCCTCCGGGCCCCCGCACTGAGCTTACCAGAGTGTGTTTTTGCTCTTTTCAGGGTCCTGGGCGCAGGCTCCCCTCACTCAGCCGCCCTCATTGTCTGGGAATCCAGGGACGTCGGTCACCATCTCCTGTGCTGGAAGCAGCAATGACATTGGGAGGTATAATGATGTCTCCTGGTACCAACAGCGCCCGGGCGCAGCCCCTAAACTCCTGATTTATAGGGTCAGCAATCGGCCCTCGGGGATCCCTGAGCGCTTCTCTGGCTCCAAGTCTGGCAACACGGCCACCCTGACCATTGCTGGGCTGCAGGCCGAGGACGAGGCCGATTATTACTGTTGCTCATATGCAGGCAGTGGCACTTTCCACGGTGGTGCGGGTTCACGGGGAAGTGAGACCAAAACCCGCCCGGGGCTCCCAGCGCCCTCCTTGCTCTGAAGATGGTCCCCTCCCTGGGCAGGGGCCTCAGGCGGCCTAGCCCGGAGGATTCCTCCTCTACCCCTTCCTCCTGCCTCTCCCAGAGCCTTGAGAGCCAGCGTGTTTTTTCAGCTCTTCTCCAACGAAATCCACAGGAGCCGAGCTCTGGGGTTACTGCCTTTGCTGTGTTTTGTGCATCCAGAGGCCCCTCATTCCAAAGCACTCATTGGAACAGCCACAGGGAGGCTGTGCTAGGCATGCTGGGTAGATGTCCCACAATCCTCTGGGAAATCCTCACTTCAAATACCTGGGCCTCCCACACCTGTGCGGACCAACCTCGATCCAGTTCTCCACTAATGAAGTGGGACAGACAATAAAGAAAAAGTTTTAATTTTCCTTCATTCTAGAAAAAGTTTTAATTTTCCTTCCTTCTTTCCTTCCTTCTTTCCTTCTTTCCTTCCTTCATTCGTTTCCTTCGTTCCTTCCTTCCTTCTTTCCTTCCTTTCCGGGCTCCCAATACTTCCCGTGACCAAGGAAGGTGTGAGATGGGGATCTGAGGGAAAGGCTGTGTCCTCTCAGAACTGCCCTCTGCCCAGGTCCCTGGATGGTTCTCCTGGGGCAGCCTGCATGTGCAGGGCCATCCCAATCGATGGATCTGTCGAGTCGGCTGCTTGGTTCTGTTGGGGTGGCCCCATTCCTCAGGGATCCCCAAAGCTCTTCATGACGATCCAACTCATTTCCAGCCACAATCCCAGTTAAAATGAACCAACAACTAAAATACCTCTAATTTGGAAGAAGTGAAGTCTCCACTATCATTTTCTCCGTCTAAGTTATTGGTTGAAATGAGTCACTCCCCAGGCAATCAGCGTGGATCTGGGATTAAATATTAGTGTCTCTAAATTATATGCTGGGCTTCACTGCTCATTAGTCACAGTTGCAAGTGGTCACTTTGCCTCCTGTGCTGGCTGTCATGCTTAGCATTTCTATGACGCGTGTTCTCACGTGGGCACGCGTGTGCAGAATGACTGTAATGAGAACGGGGATCCCTGCAGCCCGCGCTCTGAGTCCTCGTGATCCTAACGGGAAGAGGAACAGGACAAGGTGGGACCCAGTGAAGGTCAGAGGTCTGCTTCCCGCAGGAAGGATGAGGACAACTGGCCTGTGCCCGGGGCGCCCCATGGTTTCCCAGGAGACAAGGATCCAGTCCGCTTGGTCCACAGGCCCAGCTGATGGGCTTCTGAGCAGACCAGTGACTACTGCCATCTCACTGTCACCTAAACACTGAGGCCAGGATGGTCTGAGCTGCCTTCCCTGGGGCTTGGCTGGCACCATCTGAGGCCACCAGGGGGCAGTGTTGTCTGCATTTGGGAAGGTGCTCCCTGGGGGTCAGCCCTGACCTGCAGGAAGTCCCCTGGGTGCTCACCAGGCCCTTCTCCTAAGCGGGTAGGCGGTGGAGGGGGGTATCCTATGTCTGTTCCGTCCCAATGTTTCCCTCCGGGGAGAGGCAGCAAATGTCCCGGAGCCTCAGACACTGTGGAGATTGGGACACGGGACACGTGAGGACTCATTTCAACTGAGGAGCCTCAGGGAAGAAGGAGAAAGACTGGGAGATACCAGCTTTGCCCCTGGTTCTTGGGCAACAGGGGGACTGGAGCTCTAAAAGCCAACCTAGAGCCTGTCCTCCCTCCTCCCATGTCTCAGAGGGAGTCCCTGTATTCCTCAGTCAAGAACCGCATGGATGCCCAAGGAGGAGGGACAGGACCTCCCAGGTGTCCTCCAGTCCCTCTCCTGTGATCTCAGGGGGCCCCCAGTGAGGAAAAACTCTCCACCATAATCTCTCAGGTTCGCTCTGCTGTCTGCTGAGCAGAAACATCTAGATGAAGGGTAGGCTCAGAGGAGGGAGAAGACAGGCAGGGGCAGGAAGTGGATTTGCATGGAGGCCCC